GCTGTCCCTGTCGCTGCAGGGGTGGGGCTGGGTGGGCTCTACAGGGCCCTTCCCAAAGCATTCCATGATTCAATGATTCTGTGATCTGCGGTGAGCACTGGAGAGGACAAGGCAGCAACCTGCCAGCAGCGATGCGCCTGTGGAGGCCGAGCACCCACTGCGCAGCCCTTACAAGCCAAGCCAGCTGACGCCCAACTTTGCAGCCAGAAGCAGACACTCTGACTAAGTCAGATGTGTCATGGGGAAAACTCACATCGCTGCTGCCCTCCTCCCAGCCAGCAAATTAACATCCCACAGTAAACACTCATCCTGCAATTAAAAGAAACCCAGTCCTCACTTTTCATTTTCACTTGTGATTAACATCTGCAACCTCCTAAAATTATTTCTGTGGTTGGGAACGCAGCGCTTGCCCGTCTCTCATCAGGGGCACCCTGTCAGCCCCACAGGGAGACTCGAGACGCTGCTTCTAACCGGGAATCGGAGGAGAGGAGCAGCCTGCTTTCCCTTCACAGCTAAAAGCCCTTGTGTTTCCAGTGTGCGAGAACGTGTGCACTATGCGGAGCAGCCACAGCCACGTCCCCTGCCCCTCTGGGAGGAGAGCAGGTTCTGGGAGCACTGAGATAGCTTCCAGTGCCGTAAGAGGCTAAAGGCTGCCCCAGTACCTCCCACTCCCCGAGGCGTGTGGATCCTCCCCTTGGCATCCTTTTTCCAAACCTCCTTCTCCCCATCCTGCTCCCTATATATTTGAACCCCTGCAGAGCTGCATTTTCTCCTTTGCCTTGGTCCTAACAGGCAGAATGCAGGCGGGATCATCTCCTTCGGCTGCTCAGCAGCAGGTGAGGTCCAGCCCAGCCTCCAGCGCAGGTAAGAGATCTCTGCTGACTGCAGCTTGCTCTCAGGAGAAGGCTTGGGACCGTTGGTGGCTTGTTGCTTTCTGGCGGTGGGCTCTGCTCCAGATCCTCCTAAACTCGTCTGGAGCCAGATCTCGTGGCTTTGTTACCGTGACACCCAGAAAATGTAAAGTAAAAAGAAATGTGGGGATGAACGTGGTGTTTTCTCTGGCCAGGAAAGGGTTTCTTTTCCCAAGCTACTAAAAGTACCAGGAAATGTTTAGGTAGACTGAGGATTAAAAGCATTCTAACTATTCTCTCATTTATTCACCTGCAACTTGTACAGGCTGTGCTTGCCGTGGTCGGATACACCATGGCAGGGAGTCCTCAGTGCAGTCTGGCTGTGATGGGGCTGTTTCTGCAGGAGTAATCTAAGGAGAAGGGAGAAGCAAGTTGGAGGGGTGGTTTCTCAGTGCTTCAGGTAGGAGCGCTTCCCTGGAGGAGCAGGCACACGAGTGTTAAAATGAATAAGAATAAAACCAAGTAAGAAGCTGATGCTGCAAAGCCCGGTCATACAATTTAGCTGCGGGTTTTCCTTCCTCTCCTGAGCCTTGGCATTGTAAGTGGGGAAAAGGGGTCCTTTTGGTGGTGGTGGTTGTTTCCTAGCAAGCTCCCGTTCAACTGCATTAAGGCCAATTTTCTCAGCAGTTATAAAGAAAACAAGGCTGGCAGGGTTCAAAGTGCCCTGGAGACCGCAGCAGCTTGACAGGGACTCGCAGGATGATGCTAGGGGCTGGCAAGGAGGCTGACACCTTGAGTGCTGAACGTCTCGGGTGGAAACAGGGCTTTCTGTGCGAAAGCTTTCCATTAATGCCCCCAAACCAAGGCACAGCAAAGTGCAGCCATCCCAGAGAGGGCCAGGAGGAGCGGCAGAGCAGGCTCAGCTCTTCCCCCTCCTCACCCTGCAGTGAGGGGATGCTCTCTCCCCACTCAGCTCCCGGGAGAATCCTCTCCCCTCCCGCTGCCCCTGGCACCTGCAGAGGCTTCTCCAGTGCGGGGGCCCAGCCATACTGCCCTTCTTCCTCACTGCCTCCCCTCCTCCTCCTCCTCCTCGCAGAAGAATCACAAAAGCACTCTGCAACTCCTTGAGGCCGTGCGAGCCTGGCATTGCTCCCATACGTGTCGAGCAACCCTTCCTCTCCACCACAGGGACACGATGGGTGGCAAAGCAGAGAGACACGGCCCTGAGCCTTGTACCTCTCTGTACTAGAAATACATCACCGGCCTTTTTGGCTGCCCAGAGCCCCAAACCTTTCTGGGGGTCATTTGGATGCATGTGGGCATCCTGGTTCACCTCGGACGTTGCCATCAAGTGGGAGTGCGCGCAGCCACTCCAGCAAGTGGTTCCTTCATAAAAAGGGGATTAAAAGAACTTGCTGTCATCTAATTTCTTTTTGTTTCTGTTCTCAATGCAGAAAAGTGTGGGGCGTGTGGTCCTGGCTTCGCCTCGCCTCTGGATGCGATGAAAGGCAAGTCTGAAATCCAGGGCAGGCAGGGAAGAGCCCTGCGCTGCCTATGATTTAGGTGAAGAGCAAAACAATGCTTTCAAGTATATCAATTATCTCAATTCTCCGAGGAGGTTCCCAGCAAGCATAGGGAAGCAATGGTTTCCCTTCTGGCCTGTCCTGAGGCCAAACATCATTGCATAATGACAGCTTGGTGTCAGAACAAACCTTTTTAGGTTTCATGATGGCTTGGGATGGGTCATAGCCTGCAACAAAGTCACCTGTGGCTTCCCTTTACAAAACCAAATGGGATTTTTAAGTTTCTCAGAGGCAATTGTATTGCTATAGCCCCACACCACCACCACCGGAGCTAAACCTGGGGAGGGAGGGGGACCATCCTGATTTTTCATTGCACTCTGCTCCTGATGGCTGGGATCACAACATGACAAAAGCTCCTTGTATAAAAACTGGCCTCACGGGCCACTTCCTTACAGTCTGGATGCTTTGCCTGAGAATCCTTCTTGCTGCATTGCTGAAACACCAGTGCTCTAATGCGAAGAGACCAATGAATGCATCATCTCCGGCTATGCCTCCCTTAATCCTCTTCTCTAGGGCTTAGCAAACACATCCTTGAAACCATAGAGAGCTCTGGAGCTTGCTCATGATCTGTGATTCCTACCCCGAAATGTCTTTGAACCAAGAGAACAACAATGAAGAGATGAATCTTTAAAACATCCCTGCGTGTCGGCAGGGCTGGGCAGTGATTTAAATTAATAGCAAATAGCACAAATCCCACTGGCTCTGCTACTCTGGCAAGTTCCTTTGGGAACTATCTGGTTGCTTCAGTGGTGCTGAGTAACTCTGGCACCCAAAAGCTCTTCCATGCAGACATCTGGCAGGTTGGGCTCCTGCGCAGGTGATGAGAAGCTCCTCGGTGTCCTTTGGGTGCCTCAGGAGGGGTATGAGCTCTGTGGCTCTGTCCCATACCCTGTCTTTTGGTGCCACTGCAGCTGCAGGGATGGGATCCCTCAGCGTTTGGCAGCTGCTCTCAAACCCAAGACTGACACAGGCACCGCTGGGTACAGGTTTCTAAAGGCACCACGTTGCAAAGCCAGCTATTACGTGTTATGGATCAAATCCAGAGGTCTCAAATCACCTCTCTGTCTCTGTTTCCCACTGCTCTCTCTTCCTCAGCATTTCCTAACCCAGTTCTCCCCCACTAGCCCTCACTTTGGCAGTACTTTATGCTGACACAACTGAGAGCAAGTACCACCTTTGCAGTGGTAAGGAGACTCCGTGGGGTCTGAATGCCCTTGCTTGGAGGGCTGGGCAGTGCTCAGGTCCCAGAGCAAAGCCACTTCCCAGCAAAGCTGATCACAGGCACTCTCAGGAGCAGCGCGTGCACCAGGGCAGCAGCTCCTGCTTGGGGAGCAGGGAGCATGGCAGACCTGTCGCTGCGAGGGCATCCAGGGGCAGAGCCCTTCTCCCTTTCCCAGTGGGATGCCCTGCAGACAGGGAGCTCTTGCACCACCGCATCACGGTAGATTTTCACTGCTCGGGAGGACTATGGGACTGCCCAGGGGCTTGGGGGGCTTTCTGCCTTTGACTTCAGTCTGGCAAGCACTTCTTGTGTTTTTAAGGCTTCTCCTGTGTAGATGTGATGGAAATGAGATGCAGTGTGGTTTGATTCGTGTGACTGAAAGGATTGGGGAAGAGCTGGCATGTCCTCACAGGCATGGGGTGATCCCAAAGCCATGGACTTTCTGAGGTCCAGAGATCCCTTCCCAGGGCAAGGGATCTGAATAAGCCCAAAGGCCCTCAGGGCGGCCCCCTCCAAACAGAGCCCAGCCTCGTGCCTCTGGTACGGCAGAGAGATGGAGATCCAACTGCCCCATGCATATGGGGGAACGCACCGGCTCCCCGGGAGGGAGATCCAGGCTGACCAGAGACTCCTGCAAGGTTTTTATTCTGTCAAAGGTGGTTTCTGCTGATGCTCAGGCAGTGTTTCTGTCTTGAAAGGTCCCCGGGAGGAGATTGTGTATGTGCCCTGCATCTACAGGAACACTGGGAGGAAGAAACCTGACTTTCTGGCCACTGTGGATGTCAACCCCAGATCTCCACACTATTGCCAGGTACCAAATGCTTTATCTCGGTAGTAAACTGGCCTGGGAAACAGCTCAGTGCTTGTCCTTCTCGCTCCCCAAAGCTGCTGGCTCAGTACCAAAGGCTGATGCCTGTCCGCTTCTTCCCAAGACTCTGAGCCTTCCTGTCCTTACGAAATGCACGTAAAATGCGCCTCACACCCCACCGTAGGATCCCCTGTGCACCATCGCTCCCCTCTGCAGGGTGAGGCTTGCTTGAGGCATCCTGACCCTATGGTGGGGTCTGCAACGCACTGAGCTCCCCGTCTGCCTGTGATCTTGCACTTGGCAGAGGAAAGACCAGTGTAAGCTGGGACTTTGCAGGTGATCCACCGCCTGCCCATGCCCAACCTGGGGGACGAGCTGCACCACTCGGGGTGGAACACCTGCAGCAGCTGCTTCGGGGACACCACCAAGAAGCGGAACCGCCTGATCCTCCCCAGCCTCATCTCCTCCCGCATCTACGTGGTGGATGTGGGAACCGACCTGCGGGCTCCCAGGCTTTTCAAGGTACCTTGGAGGTGGTGCTGATACACATTAAAGGCTAAAGGTCTGGGAGTGTGGCTTCTGCCTGCAGGAACAGCTTGGCAAAGAGGCTTTGGGGTACATCTAAGAGCTTAGCAGGACCTGATGTCTGGCTGACAGTACGGGAAGGCTGTGGAAGGTGGTTGTTCTCCTGCTGATGTGCAGGACCAGGGCACACTGGGTGCCAGGCACAGCACTGCCTGTCAGGTTTACAGTCCATGTCTCGCCTGTGGCGTGTGTCTCCGAAGGAGCCCCGGCATCTGCCTGCAGCTTGCCCCATGCCTGGGTGTGCAAGTGCCTCGCTGGTGGCCTGCAGCCAGCTTCTCGGGGTGAGCGCAGCAGCCGCCCCGTGTGCCGGCATGCCTGGGGACGCAGGACCGTGCACGCTCTGCCCCAGCAAATGTGCTCGGCCCCTCTGGCTGCATGGCAAGTCCCATCTTGAGGTCAGGGAGGAGCTGCCCAGCCACGCCACGAAGTAACACCAAGCTTGTGAACCTGCATTCAGTGCAGAAATGAACACCCTTCTTGCCTGAGACAGCCCGGCATGGAGGACGTGACGGTGCCTGTGAACTCCCGGCAGGTTGTCAACTCAGAGGACGTCTTCTGGAAGTGCAACCTGGGTTACCCCCACACCTCCCACTGCCTGGGCAGCGGTGAAATCATGATCAGTGCTCTGGGAGACCCGGCCGGCAGCGGGAAAGGTACCCCAGTTCCCACCAGTCTTCCAGGGAGAGGGTGCTGGGACAGGAGGAACAGTTCCCACATCCAGAGCTGTCCTGGAGGCTTCACCCAAGACTCCCAGCCTGTTCAGCAGCCTGGTCTGCAACGGGTTGATCTGTCTGTCGCTGCTTGCTTTATAACACATGAACTGTTAATCTGGATGATTTCCTCGCTGCCAATGTGGTTTTGTTTCTGCACCAGGCGGCTTTATTCTGCTGGATGGAGAGACCTTTGAGATCAAGGGGAACTGGGAGAAAGGGGACAAGATCCCCCCGATGGGTTATGACTTCTGGTACCAGCCACGCCATAACGTCCTGATCAGCACTGAATGGGGAATCCCGAAATGCCTGGGATATGGGTTTGACCCAAATGATCTGAAGAAAGGTGAGAACACTGTTGTTTAAATACTCTGGGAGAGAGATGCTGAGCAGGACTGCAAGAAGGCCCAATTTCAGCCCTCTTCTGTTGCTAAGTGAGAGCTGGCAGTCTAATGGACATAGATAAAATTGTCCAAGTCAGTTTGCTTGCAAAATGAATTTCACACCAATTCCTAGAGATCCCATGGATTTAAAAAAGACAAGCCCAGCCCATTTACTGTGACCACCCTTTAGTTGCAAGCACCAAAAGTTCAACCCAAGACAGTCCATAAATTCTGCTGTTGACCTGCACGTGGGGTTGGATCGCAGCTGCAGGCATGAAGGATGAAGCCCCATCTCAGCCCAGCTGCCCCCGAAAGGTTACACTGCCCTTCCCAGCCCTGTCCTAGCGCGAGGGTCCCTGTTGGATGCTGGGCATCTTCCCATGGATTTTGTCAAGGTCCAAAGCAACCGGCGTGTGCTGGTGCGGAGACCATGGGGTTGTCCCTGCAGGGGTCTAAAGGGGCTGAGGACTCACCCGAATCCGTAGCACGTTTCCTTGAGACCCTGTGCCTCGCAGCATCCCCTCTAACCCTCCCTCCCAGGGCGCTACGGCCGCCGCCTCAACGTGTGGGACTGGACCACTCACACCTACATCCAGGCCATCGACGTGGGCGAGGACGCGGCCCCCCTGGAGATCCGCTTCCTCCACAACCCCGATGCCGCCGAGGGCTACGTGGGCTGCACCATCAGCAGTGCCATCCACCGCTTCTACAAGACCGAGGTACGCGCTCCCCCAGGGTTGGTGGAAAAGGGGTGCTGCCCCTTGGTTGACTGAGCCGCACGACTCCGCGCAGCATCCCGCTTCCCACATCCCCTGCCATCCTCGCAGCCTGACTCCGGTCCCTGCAGATGCACACGCCTCCTCCCCGTGCTGTGCAGCCACCTCTTTGCACCCAGAACATGAGCTGGCTTGGGGTAGTCTCACCAGAGGACTTGTTCTGACTGGCAGCAGTTTAGGCTGAAATGATTTAATTTAAAGGACATTTATTTATACCTTTGTTGTGGATTTACAACAGCCCAAGCAATATTCTTCTCAGTGTCTGTTGTGTGTAACAACAAACTGGGGGAGGAGAGAGAACATCTTTCACCGAACCAGCTAATCTAGCTGGAAAATTAGACAAGTTTTTGTCCCCAGAGCCCTTCCTCAGGTCCCAGAGCCCATCTTCCCCGTGGCTCTGCAGAGCCAGAGATGGCTGGCAAAGTAGCTGAGCTACAGCCCTAGAGACTAGAGGTGGTGGACACGTGCACGCAGCATCTGCCCCAGCATCGGGTCTTACCCTGCCTCTGCTGTGCACACTGAGCCCCCCGGGGCCGTGCTCTGTCCTGCACCTCCTGCAGCGAGGAGACTGGGCGGCCGAGAAGGTGATCCAAGTCCCCAGCAAGAAGGTGGAGGGATGGCTCCTCCCGGACATGCCAGGTCAGTGCATCCCCGGGCTGGGTGCCGAGGTGCTCCCTGGCTTCCCTGGGCGCTGCCGGTGCTGCCGCCTGTTTGTGTAGTGTTGTCGTACCCTCCCCAAGGCTTCATCACCGACATCCTCATCTCGCTGGACGACAGGTTCCTGTACTTCAGCAACTGGCTGCATGGAGACATCCGCCAGTACGACATCTCCGACACCCGCAAGCCCAAGCTGGTGGGGCAGGTGAGGCAGCAGCAGGCTCCCGGTTGCATCCTGACGCTTTTCCTCCATCTCTTGGGGACGGCTGGGATCAGCCCCATCCTCACTGTCTCGGCCACCCACACCTTTGGTCTCTTGCAGGTCTTCGTGGGTGGCAGCATCACCAAGGGAGGACCCGTGACTGTGTGCAGGGACGAAGAGCTGCAGAGCCAGCCAGACCCATTTTTCATCAAGGTGAGCTCGGCCGTCTCCCCAAAATCCCACGGGGCATCGCCCCCACCATCTGCTCGGTCCCACCTCTGCCTTGAGCAATGCCGGTGCGGGGGACGGTGACGGCTCTGCCACAGAGCGTGCTGGGCAGGGTGGCAAGGCTGGGGAGCGGGTCCTGGCAGTTCTGCTCCGCTGCATCCCATGGGATGGACACGGCAGCCCGCACTGCTGGTCTGGGGGAGGCGGAGGCGTCCCCCAGTCCAGCACCCTCCGGCAGCACATCTGCTCCTCTTCCCGCTCCCAGGGGAAGAGGGTGCAGGGGGGACCCCAGATGATCCAGCTCAGCTTGGACGGGAAGAGGCTGTACGTCACCACATCCCTCTACAGCGCCTGGGACAGGCAGTTCTACCCCGACCTCGTCAAGTAAGAAAACTTTGATAAACGAGGATGATTGTATGAGCTCATCAGGCGGGAGGCGCGGACCCTGCAGCTCGGGGATGGAATTTTGGCAGCTCCTTGGAGGCAAG